GGGTCCTAGAAAATGAATGGTTAATGAATAATACAGTAGGAATAATACTTACTAAATGTCTTTATTTTATAACATTGTAACTGACCATGAGTTGATTATAGATCTAGGGCCCTCAAACCTATTTGATAAAATCTTGTTAATGCAAAAAAATATAAAAAAATATATCTGCAATGTGCAGCTTCTAGTAGTGGAATGGGGACTATACTAAAGCCTGTATGGAGATCTAAAGACAGACAGATAGATAGATTCCATGTCAGCTCAGCTTCCCAACAAATTTCAATGAGGTGTCCTTTTGGTACGTCTCTTACATTCAGTTTGATTGAAGGTTTACTTTGGGACTTCTATGCAAACATATTTTTTTTTTTTAACATAATTTGTAAAATATCCAATGTTTAATTACATCATATTATTTTTACTTACTTATATTTTTTCATGTATATTTTAAAGCTTACAAATGTTTTTGGGATATATTCACCAAATTGTTATTTGAATAAATGTTCAAAACATGTTATATTATGCCTGCGGTGTCCATGTAAAGCATTTGGTTGGTCATTACCCAGCAGAAACAAGAGGTGTATCAGCTTATCTGCAAAAAGCAAGAAGATAAGGTATGTCATTTGGACGTTAGTAAATTATTCTTTGAAAACTAACAGATATATATTTTCAAGTGCATTGATAAAATACATTAAAATCCGTATTTATTTTTTTAATTCTTTATTTATGTTGTGCACATATTAACATACAAGTTCGGTATGCCACGATAGCGATACCTAACTATAGTAATGCAGTTAGTATCATGGCATGCATTTACATGGCACATTTTTCATTTTTAAGTGATGTCGTTAAGGTGGGGTATAGTGTGACACAGACTATGTGTGATTGTAGATATATGGTTGGCCCTCCAACTCCGGGCACTCTTATGCATCTCTGGTGTGTTGTGGCCTAGATCTAACTGGGTTACAGTGGTGGTGCGCTGCGTTCTAAAGTGTGTCCCAGCTAGTGTGTGTGCCGGAGTGTGTTAGAGGTTCGTTGCTGGCTGCCTCCAGTACTTGTCAAAGCAGTGTTATAGGTACTTCGGTCTTAGGAGGTGTGTGTGGGGGGTAGTGTAAGTGGCTCAAGGGGAGCTGTCGAGCTTCAGGTGGGCTGTTTGTGGAAGAGCTCTCTTCTGTGTATAAGTCAGTAGGGCTAGGTTGGAACATGGGGCCAAAATGTGTATAGCAGGGAGCAGAAAAATTAGCATTTTAAACATTATAAACTGGTGCCATAGGCTGTGCCTAAGGACGTGGTATTAGCGGGCTGTCCATCTAATCGATGTCCTCAGGTGATGGCCACTGCAGTTCCTCCCTTGTTCTGCCGTCGGGGGGAGAACGGGATCACTGCGTCCGGGTTCCATTGGTGTGGAATGCGGCCTGCTGCCTCCGCTCCGGTAGATGACAGGGCGTCAAGAGATATG